GGCAGTGTGCTTGGTATAGGATAGAGCAGGTTTTAGGGCTGTTGTACATAGGTTCGCTATGATTCATAAATGACTTGACGGCACATAACAACAACAACCACAACAGAGGAAGTGGACAAATACTTACAAACGCACAACCTACCTAAACTGACACAAACCGAAATTGGCCCATTACAAAAGAAAAAATTGAAAAGGTACTGCAACAACTTCCAACCAAAAAAACCCTGGACCAGATGAATTTACAAGTGAATTTTATCAAACATTCAGAGAAGAACTGTCACCAATTCTACATAAACTATTTCAGAAAATAGAAAAAGATGGTTCTCCCAGACTCATCCTATGAAGTAAACATATTCTTGATACCAGAGCCAGGAAAGGACACCACCAAAATAGATAACTATAGGCCAATATCTCTTATGAACATAGATGCAAAAATCCTGAATAAAATATTGGCCAATAGAATCCAACGATACATCAAAGAAATAATCCATCATGACCAAGTGGGATTCATAACAGGTATGCAAGGATGGTTCAATATAAGAAAAACAATTAATATAATTCATCATATTAACAAAGCAAAGAACAAGAATCACATGACCCTATCAATTGATGCAGAGAAGGCCTTTGACAAAATCCAACACCCTTTTCTGATTAAAACAGCCAACAAAATAGGAATAAAAGGGAATTTCTTCAGTATAGTAAAAAGTATTTATGAACACCCAAGAGCCAACATTGAACTCAATGGAGAGAGGTTAAAGACATTCCCTTTAAGAACAGAAACTAGGCAAGGATGCCCATTATCACCTCTCTTATTCAATATTGTATTGGAAGTCTTAGAGATAGTAATAAGACAAGAGAAAGACATAAGAGGTATCGAAATTGGCAAAGAGGAGGTAAAATTTATCTCTCTATGCAGATGATATGATAGTATACCTAGAAAACCCTAAAGACTCAGCAAGAAAACTATTGGACATAGGTGACCAATTCAGTAAAGTAGCAGGGTGCAAGATCAACATACAAAAATCAGTTGGATTTCTCTACAGTGACAAAGAGAATACAGAACTGGAGATAAGAAAAACAATACCCTTCACAATAGCTAATCACAAGATAAAATATTTGGGAGTAGATATAGCTAGAAGCACAAAGGATCTGTTAAAAGAAAATTACGAAACATTACTATAAGAAACAAAAAGAGACATGGAGAAGTGGAAGAATATTCATTGCTCATGAATAGGAAGACTCAATATCGTGAAGATGGCAATTTACACGTTCCGTATATAGGGTTTTTCAAAGGCCTGTTATTTTAGAAGTGGATGGCCAATCCTCCTTCCTAGTCTGTCTTAATTTGGATGCTCACGTTTAGCATAGTATCTGACAGACAAGCATTTTACTGAAAGGAGCAGATGAAGGACATTTCCTCATTACAGAAGTCACAACAGATTCAGTGTCGTTCCCCTCATAACCACAGCAGCAGCAGCAGCAACAACATACTCAGACTATGTTAGATGAAGCTTCTTTGCCTCCTTGGAGAACTCTGGCTCCACCTTCTCCAAGACATATACAATTGTTCTTTTGGCAATCCATGGGATATTCAGCACTCTTCTCCAACACCACAGATGGAAGGCACCAATTCTTCCATCATCCTTATTCATTGTCCAGCTCTTGGATGCAGAGCAAGTGACTAAAAAGAGTATGGCCTGAATTAGGCATACCTTAGTCCTCAAACTGACATCTTTACTCCTCAATAATTTGGAGAGGTGCCCTGACTACAGACTTTCCCAGTGCAATGCATCTTCTGATATCCTGGCTGCTGGTACTCTTGGTGAATCGAAGTAAGATGAAATAATTGCATTGTGAATTGTGGATCCGAGTAAGATGAAGTCATAGACAAGGGCCAAGGGTTAGCACTGACCTAAATTCCTTACAACTAAGAGTCTTATTTGTGCCTCTATAAAAGACTTAGACTTTTTTTTAAAATATACTTTTGCTTTCTAATTAGATTTTCAGAATCTCATTTGCCTTTGCTCATGTTGATAGCCTACACTCTGACATCATTGCCCTTACATTCCACTTACTGAGGAAGGTCTTCACTGTGACTGTATGTGTGGCCTTGGGCAGACAACCATTCTGGACCCACAAGGGAACTCTTTCAAAAGGCTGTGAGGGTCCTGCCCTCTCCAGTGGTCTCTGAGTGGTCTCTGAGTGGACAGTAATATCTCCTCTTTCCTGCAGGTGGAGATGGTAGAGGTGGGGGAAGTCAGGACAAAGAACAAACTTCCCTACAGAAATCAAAGCTCAGAAGTCCCTCTGCCCTGCCCAACCTTCTCAGCACTCGACAGGACTAAACAGACCCTAGTGTTGGAATAACTACTTATTATACTGCCATGGATGGATGTGAGGCTGTATCCTGTTTCTCAATCAGCTACCCTACAAGTCAGGGTCCTAAGAACAAGTGGAGTAGATAGCCAGCTACATGGGATGACTCAAGGAATTTAAAAGTCTGACCTCACCTATTTCCCTTGTTGGCCCAAGGTTCCATCTTAAATTTTCATCAGTCAGGTGATGCTAAGAATGTGTTTCTAGATGTTCTCTGCTAAAAGGTAAGAATGTCTAAAATGGTGGAGTACAACTTCATCATTCCTTTTGTCTCATGGTCTAGTAGGTAAGGACTCCCAACCCAAAGGCAGACTCCATCAGCTGCTCCTTGTGAGAATGATGGGCAATGTCCTCCTGTGTGATCTGCAGCCTCTGACAACCTGCTGGAGGGTCAGCTATGAGTTTAAGGGGGTTTTGGTTTGTTGTTTGGTTGTGGTGGGGTTTCCCCCGTTTGTCTGTGTGATGTGCTATGTGTTCAGAAATTCCACAACTTATGAATTGTAGAAAGCAGAACCTCACTTCTAGTTTAGATGCTTGGCTGAAATGTACAACATCTGAAGTTTCAGATTCTCTAGTAGCCAAGGTCCACTAACTGGATGCTCCTGCCCCAACTTGTGCTTCAGGGCCTGGTGAGGTGGCAGACTTGGGAAGCCATTTATTTCCACAGTGGATGGAAAGGAGCAGAGACAGGGGCCCTGACCAAAGGTAGTGGTAGTGGGGTCAACTGCAGTGTTCAGTATTAAGATGTGGCTGCAGCCATGATCCTAACGGCTAAGAAGCACCTCCAGTTCCCACTCATTTCCACACTGGATCTTCAGTCTTCCCAGAGAGCTTCCAATATTGTTTTACTAAGTCTCTGTTGGAAGTCTAGTGTCCTAGTGGTAAGAAACTGCACTGCAGTCCCAAAGGGATGTGGTTCTTATCCACAGTTCAAATCCACCAGCTGCTCCACCAGAGAAGAATGGGCAATCTCTTCCTGTGCGATTAAACTATCTCTGAATACCTGCTGGAGGGTCATCTATGGGTTGGTTCCAATTTGATGGCACACAACAAGAAGTCTCTACGCTATTTACATTACAAAGTCATCTTTAATTGCGAGTAACCGAGAACACCAACTGACTCAAGGGGTGACATGTTAACAGCAGAGAAACCATAAACACACCAATCACAGGCGGATTCACGTGTCTACTTGGGATGGCAATTCAACTTGGTAAACAGCTAGACTCCAAGGAAAGAGCTTTTGTTAGATGGGGGAAAATTTTTAAAAACTGGTCTTATGTCAATTGACTTGTGGACATGTGTTTCAAGGCTACCTGAGGGGCATGCGACACACAGGGCTGAGGCAGTGCAGGCTGGAGGGGACACACTGATGTGAAAGGAAATGAACACAGTAAAGACCTGATACTATTGAACTGAGTGTGGAGCTTCACTGAAGGGCCATGCTTAACCCCTTCCAGAGCATCCAAGGGGAAAGACAGACCATTGATCTTATTTTTATTTGTTGACACTAAATCTACACGATAATAGTAAACTGTGAGAGACTCCTCTTCTCTCTACACCACTGTCCATAGACCTTTTATGATTTAACACACAGGCTGACAAGTGCAAGACACTGTGAACGCTAAACTACATACAGGTCAGGGGCTGTGTCTTCTTTAGCAGATTGTTGTTGTGTACTGTAGAGTCAGAGCTGGTCCACAGCTGACCTTCCAGAGGGTTTTCAGAGGCAGTAAACAGCACAGGAGACTGCCCATCTTTCTCCTGTGGAACAGCTGGAGGCACAATTCTGATCACTGAGCCACCAGAGACAGCTCCTGTTCTTTGAATGAAGGAAAAAGAATGAAAACAGGAAATGAGGTGCATAGAGATACTGAATATCTACTAGGAAGTTGTTTGGGTCTTTCTGAGAAGTATATGGACGGCTCACCAGTTAGCATAATTTATCCTTTTCTGCATTTCGCATTCTCTCAGAGCAAGGGCTGATGGCAGTTTATGGAGTAGGTAAACGCCCGGTGATAGTTCTCTTCATTTTTCCATGGACGGGTCACATCTGTTTGCCTGAGACAATGGGTAGGAACCCAGGGCACATGGAGGGGGCCCTGCCATGGCCCACTCAGACAGCAGTGACATTCCAAGCCAACTGAGAGAGGATATGAGTGTTCTCATTTCATGCAGAACGCCCAGCTCTCCTGAAAATCCATGTTTTGGTGATTTCAGGGGTTGCTGACTGCTTTCAGCATGCATAGAAGGACCTCTTGGCAGTGTCTGAGCTATAGGATAGGACATCTGCCCCACGCATGGTCACCAAAAGGGGTCCCAAAAAGAATTCAAGTGAAACTAAAGACAGACATAAAGAAGAAGAAGAAGAAGAGGAGGAGGAGGAGGAGGAGGAGAAAAAAACCCCAAAGTTGCATTTGATTAAAAAAATATTTGAGACATACTGTCTTTTATTTTCATGGAATGTTACTTAATAAATATTTTACCAGAATAATGGTGATGAACGATAACAACGAAGGAGGAACAAAGGGGACTGAGAGAGATGGAAACACTTTGCATTTTCATTTAAACGGCCTCCATGGCCTCACACGCACGAGCCACATTCCAGCCTCAGCAAGGAGCCAGGGTCAGTATATGGACGACCAGTGACAGCGGCTCTTGATGACCTGAAGCAGAGGCTTCTTGAAGGTGAGGAAGATGATGGTACAGGCCACCAGCAGGGTGAGGCAGCTGGGGAGGATGAGCACAAGGTACAGCAGGCCCATGTCCAGCCGCTGCCAGTGACAGTCCCGGGGCACCTCCCTGGGCAGGTCCACCATGCGGACCATCTGGGAGGAGAGGTTGCAAGTGAGCATGGCCAGGTCGGGGATGTGCAGCGTGGGCAGGCGCTGCAGGGCCTTCCAGCCCTCCACCTCGCAGCAGTCATACGGGTTCTGACTGAGGTAGATTGTCTGCAGGGTCCTCACCAGCTGCTCAGACGCAGCCCTCTGGGGAAGGGCTGTGAGCAAGTTTCTGCGGAGATCCAGGCTTTGCAGGGACAGGCTGCCCCCAAACCTGGGGAAACTGGTCAAGGAATTTCCTGACAGATCCAAGTCCCTCAGCTTCCCAAACCCAGAGAAGTCCAACTCCTTGAAGCTGGAACTGAGGCCCACATTCCGCAGAGACAGGACCTGTAGCGTGGGGCCGAGATCCTGGAGAGGGGTGATGCTTGAATTCAGAATCCCCCAGTTGCTGGACAGGTCTAAGTGCGTGAGGAAGGTCCCCTGAAATGAGCAGTCTTGTAGGGTCCCCAGCCCACAGCCCTCCAGAGAGAGGCTCCTTAGAGACACCATATTCCTGAAATCTACACAGCTGGGGGGGCCTGTCCTGTCGACATGAACTGGAGGGGGGCAAAGTGAGAGCTGATTGTGGCTCATGTCAACTGTAGTGAGGTTGCTAGCGTTAGCCAGAAGGCCGGCGGGGATGCCCAGGAGCTGGTTGGAGCTCAGGTTGAACACCTGGAGGCTCTGCAGGCAGCTGGTGGTCCCTGGAGCCCACCTCAGTTCAGACAGTTGGTTCTGGCTCAGGTCCAGCTCAGTGATGGACCCTGGGGGCTCGTGCTCACGGATGTGGAGCACCATCAGGCAATTCTGGTTGAGGTTCAGGTGGGAGAGGGAAGGCATCTTCCTCAGGAAGCCATCGGGCAGGTACTGGAACTGGTTCTGGCTCATATCAAGGACGCGGAGATCTGAGAGGTCGCTGGATGCAAACTCTTCCCAGAGGTTGACTGTGGTGACGTTGGTGACATTGCCGTCTGTCAGGAGGAACTGGGCCACCATCTCCTGGGGCGACGAGCTGTTGTACAGATCTTTGTAGAAGCCCATGTTGTTGTCCCGCAGTAGCAGGGTGTGCAACTTGCTGCACTGGGGCAGGAGCGGGAAAAACAGCAGCTGATTGTGGGAGAGGTCCAGGGTCTCCAGCTCAAAGGTGGCCTCGGCCCCTGATGCCAGGAACCACTCCAGGACGTTGTAGCTGACGTTGAGGAAGCGCAGCTGTGTGAGGCCGAAGTCCACAATGCAGGGAAGGTTGTTATAGGCCAGGTTGAGATGCCTAAGCTGAGGCAAGCCATCAAAAGCACCCCCTTCAATCTCAAAGATGTAATTCCTCTGCAAATCCAGCACCTGGAGGTGGCCCAGGCCCTCAAAGACAGAGTCATCGAGCCGCATGATGGTGTTCTTCGCCAGGGACACAGCCTCTAGAGAGGAGAGGTTCTGGAGCATGAGGGCCACCATGTCCTCTGTCAGGGAGTTCCCAGACAAGTCCAGCTTCCGCAGGTGCGGGAGAGAGTGGAGAGCAGCGGCTGTCTCCTTGTAGTTCTCTGACAGCGTGTTGTCAGCCAGAGTCAGGCTGCGCAGCTTGGCTTGCTCCCGGAAGGCGCCGCTGCCCAGGCGTCCCAGGTGGCAGCCCTGCAGGCTGAGCCTCTCCAGGTGAGGGTAGTGCTGGAGAGAATGGTTCCACAGGGTCTGGAGAGGGTTGGTATCCAGGATGAGCGTCTGGGAAAAGGGTGAGAGATCGCTGGGCACAGATGCAAGGTCCTGTCCTCGGCAGTCAGCGACTCCACCCACCTAGGTCCAAAAACATAGTGGTCAATGAGGAGGGAAGTTGCTCCCACAGAAGTTTATATATAGTTCATTTATAAACTACTGGGATAGGATGGGAAAAGGAAGACCTTTTCTCTGTTCTTTCTCATCACACTTAAATAGGTAACTAAGAGCTGAGTTCCAGGTCTCATTTAAAACACACAGATTTGAGCACTTATTTTGCCAAGTACTGAGAGGTGACAACTGCACCTTGTTGTTCATTTGTAACAACTAGAAGGACTGTATACCAAATCTCGGCCTGAATTTGAATCTCGCCTCTGCCCTGGTGGCGTAGTGGGTAAGGAGTTGCGTTGCCAACCCAAAGGAAAGCAGTTCGAGTCCACCATCAGCTCTTCAGGAGAAAGATGCACCCATCTTTCTCCTGTGTGATTTAGAGCCTCAGAAAAGCTGCTGGAGGGTCATCTATATATGAGTCGGTTCCAAATCAAGAGCACTGTTTTGCGAGGAGGTGTAGAACATTATACGTGGAGCTGTTAGTCAAAAGATCAGCCAGTGGTTTGAACCATTAGGGGCTGCAAAGGAGGAAGATAAGGAGTCTCTTACTGTAAAGATTTAGACTTAGAAACCTGGTGGAGAGTCGCCCTGAATCGGAACTAACCGGAACCAACCTGCCTTTTACTTCCTGTACGACCCTGGCTGAGAAAAAGAATACCTACTTTGAGTGACGATTGTGAGGTTAAGTGAGAAAAGGCACCTGAAGAACTTATCCCAGTGTCTGGCCCTCAGTCACTAGCATATTGTTACTTAGCAGCCTTAATGGCGCAGTGATTAAGCACTCAGTTGTTAATTCACAGGTTGGTATTTCAAATGCAACAGCTGCTCTGCAGCAGAAGTCAGCGTCTGCAAAGATTTCTAGAATTGAAAATCTTATAGGCCATTCTATGGGGTTGCTATGAGTCAGAATTGACCCCAGTGGGCAATGGGTTTGGTTTGGGGTTATTCAATTGTTATTACTGTGCTCAGAACACAAAGGCCCTGTCCTGTAACCCTCAGTGCTGTCAAATCCTCATTTCCCCAGAAGTAATTTAGCCGGGGCAACTTGCTTATATCTAAATTGAAAGATAGTACCGTTTACAGAGAACTTAGAGGTCACTGCTGCCTCAAGTTGTACAGAATTGTTCTGGAAAGCAGGAAGCCATTCTGCTATGATTGTGCAGGGTAAGAAGGCAGGTGGCCTTCCTGCAGAAACCACGCCAGCTTGGGATACCTGAAACTCAGCTCTGTGTTTTGCAAAATTACCAGAAACAATCAGCCACAACATAACACTTATGTCCAGGAAAAAAGTTTTAAATAATGGAATAAGACTGTAACAGCCTGCCTTTCTGCTGCCAGGTTGGTCAAAGTCTGTGATTGCTTGAAATCATGGGCCCCATCCCAGAGGCCAAGCCGAGGAGTGACCAGGGGAGACAAATCGTGGCATGGAGGAAGAAACAAAGGTACAGAGGATCTTATGGACTGGATTGTGTTTCCAAAAAAAAAATGTGCTGTAAATCCACACTCTGACATCTGTGAATGTAATTGCAATTGGGAACAGAATTTTCCCTGTTGTGTTAATGAGACCGTAGTAAGTGACTGGAACCAATCATCACTGAGAAAGAGCAGATAAGATGCAAGGAAACAGGCACAAAGGGAGAGGAGAGGTAGGAGGAGGCCACGTGGAAACCTCCAGGGAACTGAGGAACAGGAACTGCACAGACCTCCCAGAGCTCACGGAGAGAAAGCCGTCCCCTAGAGCTGGTGCCCTAATTCGAACTTCTAGCCTTTTACACTTGTGTTTGTTAAAGCCACTCGTGTGGTAATTTTGTGTGTGTGTGTGTTTTAGCAGCACGAGGTAACTGAGGCAGAGGATGATGCACTCAAGTCTGAATTCAGCTCTGCCCATTAACTGTGGGCCCTGGGCAAGGAATTAACTTCTACAGTCTGATGATTAAAATTGTTGCTGTTAACGTCTGCTGTCGAGTCAGAACTGACCCATAGCTGACCCTCCAGCAGATGTTCAGGGGCTTTAATTGCACAGGAGAATGTCCATCGTTATCCCAAGGAGCATCTGGAAAGCTGGAACCCTGTGGCTTTAGGCTGACAGCGCACCTTCTTACCCCTTGGCCACAAGAGCTCACTGACGATTAAAACAGAACTGCATAATAATTTAAAAAATTAGTTCAGTATAAAACAATAGAAAAAATAAACTCTTCAGAAACTTCGACATCTTCTGCAGAGAAATATCACTAACTTTCTGTTGCATACTCTTCTGAAATTTTAAGAAAAGCAGTCTCCTTTTAATTTTTTAACAAAAATTAGACCACCAGCCATAACTGGTCATTATTTTTTTTTTGGTCAGTAATATATGATAGACATATTGCCTTAACAACTTGAAAGAAATACACTCGTATTCTTTTTGTTGTTGTGTGCTATTTATTGAATTGATCCTGACTCATAGTTCCCAAGTATGTTGGGGTTTATAAGGCTGAAATCTTTATGGGAGCAAATCCTTCTGTCTTTCTCCTGAGGATAGCGCCTGAATGCTTAGCCACTGCACCACCAGGGCTCCGAATATTCTTTTTTGCAGTCATACATTGTCTATTGCATGAATGATGTTGTTGTATACTGTTCAGTTGGAACCAACCCATAGCTGACCCTCGGATGGATTTTGAGAGGTCATTAATTGTACAGGAGGAGAATGTCCACCTCTCTCCCATGGAACAAGTTGGTGGATTCGAATTGTGTGCCTTTGGAGTTGCAGCACAGCTTGGTGCCACTGGGCCACCAGAGCTCCCATCATGCGTGTACTATTATTCATCCGTGTACTATTGCATTAATAGTACAGTAGTTAAAAACCAAGATGTAGGGTCAGAGAGTCTGGGGTCCAGGCTTGGTTCTGTGTTTTAGCAATGGGTCACACTGAGTGAGCTACCTCAACCACAGAAGTCCCTCATCATTCCATCTGTCAAATGGAAATGATACTTGGGATTTTCTCACAGTGTTTTTGGTTTTTGTGAAACATGCAGAACTTGGCATATAAATACACAATAAATGTTGACTATAATTATTAGAATGATTGAATGGATTAATCTCCTGTCACTGTGTGTAAATGAATTGTTTCTAATTTCCAGATGAAAGTTGAAGCAAATTAGACTGAATTTCTAATTAGAATGAATTTGTCAATTAGAATGAATTTGTCAAGTTCCTTTTACATCCTCTTCCCCTTCTGGTGGCCTCGTGGTAAGGAGCTGAGCTGCCAGCTGAAGGCACCCAGTGTGAATCCACCAGCTGCTCTGCAGGAGGAAGAGGGGCCATCTCCCCCTGGACAATTTACTGTCTCTGAAAACCCACTCAAGGGTCAGCAATGGGTCAGTTTCAGCTCAGCGGCACATAACAACCACAACAACCCTCTGAAAAAGTCTCTGGAGTCTGTATTTGACTTGTATTATGTTTATTAATTAGTCTGGGGGACATCTGGCATCTTTACAAGCTTGAATCACCCTGTCTAGAAACAAGGTGTTGTTTTTGCATTTGAGCAGGTGTTGGTCTCCCCTTTCCACAAGGACTCTGGAGAACGCTGCGGTCAGGGGCTTTCCCAAAGTTGTGAGAACCTGCCTCTCACCACAGCTCTTGCAGTCCTGGGGTCATGCCTCTGCAAGTCCCAGTGGCCCCTCGGGGATGCTGCAAGAGACCTCTGGAGAGGGTACCCGGACTCTTGACCTCTCAAATCTCAACACAAAAGAAAAGCAGAGATCATTGCTGTTAAGTAGATTTTGACAACCTCACAAGAACTGTACTCCTTGACTGACAATCCATCACCTTTCCACACTACCAAACCAGGCCAGGAGCAGGAGCAACACACAGCTGAGGGAAACGCACCGACTTGCAGCCCCCGTGGGAAGCTGCCATGATTAGTCCACTGCCGTTCCTCCAGTCCACTGTCAGGGTGTGAAAACTCAGGCAGAGCCAAAGAAGCAGTGACTCCATCTCAAGTGCAGCCCTGTGGAGAGAGGGTAGAGAAGGGAGCCGTGAATTTAGATACCCTGGAAGGCTATTGTATACTTTCTCAGCTCCCACATATCTCTGGTCTTGGATGCCAATTACCCAGTAAGCAAGGTAACCATTCATGGGCTTAGCTGGGCTCACTTACTCATCTGTAGGGAACAATTTCACATTTTCTTCTTTTTTTAAAGAAACCACAAGAACTGCTTCACACAGAAAATATGAAATTGTTCACTATAGATTATTAAATTAGTACAAAGATTATTAAGATTACAATATAATCTTACAGATTATTAAATTAGTAAACCAAGTAAGCACGATTAAACTCATGCTTACTTGGCTTACTGGCTACTCCATCCCTGGCAGGGACTGTAAATTTGTTTGCATACAGGCTTTGATTCTGTACAAGAGTGCTGCGGAGGTTTGGAGAGAGGCAGATGCCAGCCATGTCAAGAAGCAGAATCTTTCGTGTGGTGGGGGGAAAACACCCCCAAAACACCATGAGATTGTTCATTATAGATTAGCAAGTAAGTGTAAAAAGGCCCATGCTTACCTGGCTCCCTGGGTAATGAGACACTGCCCACATCCACCTCAAGATGGAAACCCACAGATTCTTTAAATACCTCAGGTTAGCCAACATTTTCAAACTTTCCCTCAAACTGTCAATAGAAGATTTTTATTTTGCTTTCACCATTTGACAGACTGATGGCATCTAGAGTCCAGCAACCGAGGAGAGAAGCAAAGGACTTGAGCAACTGGGTTGCAAGCTGACTGGAGTTTCCCATATTTTGTAATTCTGTGGAAACTTCCCTCCCATCTGCATGAGCGCAGTAAAGATTAGTTCAGTGAATGAACCCATAAAGAAATGAGTGGTGGGCTGGGAACGAAACAATAATGCTGGGAATGAAATAATCATTGTAATCTCTTGTCCAGCAGTTTAATTCATTGTCTTTCTGACATAAAACTTTTAGAAAAGAATAGATCTCTTTTTCTGAGTTGCCTCAGTTAAGTTTCATCTTTTGTTGTTGTAGCTGTCAGGTGCCATCAGGTCAGGAAAAACTCATAGCAACCCTATGAATAAGGATCTGAACCCCGCCCTTCCTGTGCCATCCTCATCATCTCTGATATACTTAAGTTCATTGTTACAGCCACTGTGTCAATCCATTTATTGAGGATCTTCTTCTTTTGCTCACCTTCTCCCTTTCCAAGCATGACATCTTTTCCCAAGGACTGGTCCCTCCTAACAGCATGTCCAAAGTATGTGAGATGAAGTTTAATCATCCTTGGCCTCTAAAGAGCACCTTATTGCACTTTCTCCAAGACATATTTGTTTGTTCTTTTGTCATTCTATGGGATGTTCAGTATTCTTCAACACCACAATTCAAAGGCATCAATTCTTCTGCCATCCTTATTTATTGTCCAACTTTCAGATACATAACAAGTAATTGAAAAGACCATGGCTTGGATCAGGTGCACCTTAGCCTTTAAACTGACATCATTGCTCTTTAGCACTTTGGCAAGGTCCTTGGCAACAAATTTCCTCTGTGCAACTTGTCTTTTGATTTCTTGACTGCTGGTCCCAAGAGTTGTGGATCCAAGTAACACGAAATAGTTGACAACTTCAATTTTTCTCCATCTGTCATGAAGTTGTTTATTGGCCCACTGCTGGAAATTTTTGTTTTATTGATATTGAGCCATAATCTGTATTGAAACCTATAGACTTTGGTCTTCTGCAGCAAGCATTTCAGGTCCTCTTCACTTTTAGCAAGGAAGGTTATATCATCTGTATAACGCAAGTTTTTGATGAGTTTTCCTCCGATCCTGATGTCGCATTTTTCATCATAAAATCCATCCTCTTTTTAAAATCATTTTACAACACCCTAGATTTTTCATTTGCATGAGAAGTTTAATCTCTCTGCATCCTCAGCAACATCTGTTTGCTGTCCTGTTGAAATTTGTCATGTTGCTGGGGTGAGATGCTAGAAAGTCCAGCCTCTTGAATGATTTGTTCAACAAATGGATAAAATCTTTTGAGAAAAGACTGATTCTTTTGTGTGAAAAGAGAAGAGGCAGTGAGAAGGAATTGGAAAAGAAATCTATATGTGTACATATCTATAACATGGATAATTGATGAAGAGTTGTTACCAGCTCTCTAACCTGGTCAGTGAGCACAGGCAGGAGTTATGAGAAGGCCTATAGGTACACATATACTGAGAGAAGTTTAGAACAAGGAAGAATCCTGAGGGAGATGGAATAGGTCTGTACTGTCGCACATTTGCAGTTGAACAAAGGCCCAGAAATCCTAAGTGGCTTTTTCAAGGTTCTAGAGCTGGCTGGTGGAAATTGCCTGAGTTCTAGGAGAATGAGTTTCCAAGGGAAGGAGTTACCAGGAAAAGTTGTATCTTTCCCCTCCTTGTTGCTGGGAATTGACTGTCCTCCTGTTAGGATTTCTGACTACCCAGTGGCATCTCTTCTGAGCTCAGAATCTAAAAGAAGTACCAGAGTTAGCACTCCACCTCAACACCCCTTGGAGTTTTTGTTTGTTTGGTTGGTTGGTTGGCTGATTTATCCCCCCTCTTGTACTGTACTGTCAAATCAGATCAGACTGGCACAGGAAGAGATTGCTCCTCTTTCTCTAGTGGAGTACCTGATGGATTCAAACCACACGCCTTTGGGATTGCAGTGCAGCTTCTTGTCACTAGGCCACAAGAGCTTCCTAACACTCTTTTTTGACAGCACCCAGGAAGAGCCTGGTCTCTCCTGGGCCAGCAGCACAGCTCTGAACTTCACCTATCACCCAGAGCTGCTACGTGCAGACCCTTCTCCCTCACACATCTAAGTCTGGGCAACTAGCTTCTTCTGTTTCTTCACGTAAGTTTGGGAAGTGAATCTTAACTTAATGCCAAATTTTAATACTCACCAATGAAAACAGACTACTAAGCAAGCTCTGGTGGCTTAATGAGATGGAGTTGTGCTGCCAACCCAAAGGTGGTGGTGGTGGTTGTTGTTGTTGCCTTCGAGTCGAGCACAACTCATAGTGACCCTATGAACAAAAGGCTCGAAGCCCCTCTACAACTTTTGACACTTAGCAAAGTTTATAGAGTTTCCGGAGGCATGTTATTTAGGAAGTGGATGCCACTCCTGCTTCCAAAACCCAAAGGTAGGAGGCTCATATCCATTAACTTGTCTGCAGGATAAAGATGGGCAGTCTCCTCCTGTGTGATTTACTATCTCTGAAAGCCTTCTGGAGGGTTCGCTATGAGTCGTTTCTGACCCGATGGTACATCACAACATCAACAATAAGTGAGTCCAGGTTAGTCAACTATAATCTTCACTTCAGACCCGCAATCCTTACCACAGAGGAAATCTCCAGTGCAGATCAGCACTGGTTGGACACTGTGAACCCCCTTCCCAGCCCTTCTTTCCACTTCTGCAACTGTGCCAGATGAACATACACAGGTCACAGATGGCAAAAGCAAAGCCATATGGGCTCCAGGGTTCAGAATCTTCCCACCACACACTTCCAAAACAGTGGGCTCACTGCACATCCTGAAGTGAGGTTGCCTGATTTAGAAAATTATAAGACAGCCAGTTATAGTAGAAGTCTAGGGTTAACAACAAATAACTGTTTAGTATAAGCAAGTCTCAAATCTCACTGAATGTCCTAGAATTTATCTAGGAGAGACAGAGAGACTAAAACTTGACATGCTCTCTGCTCTTCCTCCCTCTCTCCCTCCCTCCTCTCCTCTGTCAGGTGTGAGATGCTGTCCACTTTGGTGACACTAATTCTTCTAGGAAAGATCACTTCACATGTTCAAATACCAACTCTAAATGGGTACAGGGCAAGAGGGTGATTTCTTGAGAGAAGAATGCTAGGTTGGCCTGGTATTATGTGTATCTAGGAATATAAATTTAATTTCTGGATCACTAAGTATCTTTTTGAAGATTTAATACATGTCCTCTCTTTCCTCCTAAACACAACCAATTGGCCCAGAAAACCTCTCCCTATCCCCTGTGGGCAACTCTCTCTCCTGTGAGGCCACAGGATATCATGGGAAGACTGCCAGATCTGTGACCAGATGGCCCAATATTTGAATATTTGAATTCTCACTCCATTATTTCTCGTTTGGCCTTAAGCAATTCACTTAAAGTTCCCCCCGCCACCCCCGCGCGCGCGCGTACACACACACACACACACACACACACACACACACACACACACACTGCTATGAGTGGGACTGACTCATAGCTGACCCTTCAGTGGTTTTTCCAAGGTTGTAAATTGTATGAGGAGGGACTGCCCGTCTTTCTCCCACAGAGCAGCTGGCGGATTCAGAGAAACTCCTTATTCACTAGGTCACCAGAGCTTCCCATAAGTCTCTGAGACTTGGATTCTTTTTCTATAGGAAACTGGGATTAAGAATAGATATTTACAGCGTTCTTACATGGCTCAAGTAGCACAATGTATGTCAAAGTGTTTCATTAGTTGTGAAAGTTATTGTGTGGCTTTGAGTTGGAACCGACCCATAGCTGACCCTCCAGTGGGTTTTCAGAGACAGTAAATCACTGGGGAGGAGATTGCCTGTTCTCCTGCGGACTTCTTACCAGTAGCCCACTAGAGCTCCCTAATTGTGAAAGTAGTTAATGTACTTATTAACTAGGAGTTCCAAACACTGGCGAGCTGGTGATGGCTATTCCAAGTAAAATCAACCACAGCAGAAAACAAATAAAAGCATAAATAATTTGGCTAGAAGGATGAATATAGCATTCATTATATCAATTTTTGTTGTTGTTCCCTTTGAGTCGAGCACAATTCATAGCGACCCTATGAACAAAAGACCTGAAGCCCCTCTACAATTGTCGACATTTATCAAAGTTCATAGAGTTTCCAGAGGCAAATTGTTTAGGAAGTAGATACCACTTCTGCTTCCAAACCTGTCATAATATGCTATTGGTTGAGTTACCTGTGATGCATAGCAACCTTA